CCCACTGTCTCATACAGTTGAGGCTAAAATGCTTAAGAGATTCTTAAGATCTGCTGCTGGCTATGACGAGCAGTTACCTTCAGACATCAGGACTCCAAAAACCCTCCTCCAAACGATGAATTATCTTCTACGATATGTTGTAGAAGATGACGAAACTCTAGCTACCACTCACAAATTTCTCTGGGATCGCACACGCTCAATTCGCAATGATTTATCTATTCAACAACTTACTCAAGCCCAAGATGTCTCAATTGCAGTGAAGTGCCTTGAACGAATTGCCAGGTTCCACATCGTAGCTCTCCATCTCCTGTCCAGTCCTGAAAACTCGGAACCCTTTGATCACCACCAAGAACGAGAGCAGCTAAATAATACCTTATTATCCCTCCTATACTACTACGATGACAACCGAAATTTGATCAAGTTTCCCAACGAGGACGAGTTTCGAGCCTATTACATTGTGTTCTCCATACACGACCAGCGGCCCGATCTCGAAGCTCGAGTACAAAACTGGCCTCGGGAACTGTTACGGTCACCTCGGGTTCAGGTTGCACTTGAATTGTTTGCTGCAGCTGGGAATACTTGGGAATACCAAGGCACCTTGGATGCGAAAAGGCCGAACGCAATTGCCCAAGGCCTCTATGCGCGTTTCTTCCGCCTTATTCAGTCTCCTAGCGTCCCGTATCTCTTAGCGTGTATTGCAGAAATATATTTTAACCAGGTCCGGCAAACGACAATCCGATCGATATGGAAAGCGTATTGTCGACACCCTATTTCCCAACAACACAAGAACCAAGAGTGGACTGTTGACGAGCTTACTGGAACACTGGCATTTGACGATAACAATCAAACCATTGATTTTTGCGAGGAACAAGGGTTCCAGTTTGCGACGAATGCTGACGGGCAGATGTATCTAAATTGGGGCCAATTTCCGCTTGATTCTGTCGGTGCGTGATTTTATCCGCCAACAATTTGATCGATCTTGTAGGAACGTGAATCTGACTTACTTTAACCACTTGAACCATCAATGATTGGTTATAAAATAGCCTTCCAGCCATCCTCCCAACAAACATTTTCATACGAGTACGTCGAATCTAAGCGTTGTGTAAGGACTCTAGTGTCGCTTATCCTTGGGATGAACGTTTTGCAAGCTTCCAGGCACGGGATGATCGATCAATCCATTTTACCATCCGAATTGACATTGGAACAAAATCCGAAACAGAATATGGAGTCAGATGGACTGTTTGTTAGTGATCATGAAGATGAAATTCAAACGCATGATGCAACGAGCTGGCAGTCGGATAAAGGAACTATCGGAACTTTTCAAGCCTACGTTATTCATTCCCCCAGCGTTGCCGAACCAGTGTCCGCCACGAATGAGTTGGCTCAAGTGGCCCGCAGAGGATCGTTTCTCGCCTATTGTTTCATCTACGCATCAAACGTTTGCTCACCCAGGCCAGGGACAGCTATACTCTCCAGTCGCTCAGCCTATTCTGCACCTGAAGGCCC